GGAATATCTGGAACATGATCAGATTGCAGGTTAATAGTGGTAAATATCCACAATGCCCCCACGCTCCAAACATAGAAATTTCGCATGATTAGATCTTGTAGGAAAGGAGTTACGACTGAAAAGTACGGCTGGAGAACTATTTCACCGAAGACTTTTGAGCGCTACTGTATCTCTCCGTTCATATAAAACGTTAATTTATATGTGCCTATATGTCATTTGTGTGTCAGTCTGCAAAAAGTCACATAAACGCGATGAGGATTGTGAAATGTCAAGTGGGCAGGAAGGTGCTCACTGTTTTCCACTACATAGCTGCTGCACAACACTAAATCTCTAATGAAATTTCGAATGAAAACGGTTATAAGAACTACGCGCCGAAACGATTTTACCCTTGAGTACTTCACTTTAGATGGGTGGTTTCCAGAGATGAAATCTGAGCGGAATTTAGGGTGGGATAGTATCGCGTACCGGAGTATGAAGAAATTTCCAAGTTAATCTTGGGTGCGATCGCAGATAACCTGTTGGGGACATGTGATGCGCGCGTTAGCGTGCATAGCCCAACTGGTTTTATATATTTTACCTACTGCAAAAATAAATAAATATATATGAATATGTATACGATAAATAAACAAATAAATAAAATATATATATTATTGCGACTAGCGCTTATTTATATTTATATTATATATTTTATTATTATATTATTATTATTTATATTTATTTATTTTTCTTTTTTAGAGTTCCGAGATCGCAGATTTTCATTATAGAAGTGCTTTTTCAAGATGAAGCTCGGCTAGTGCATCCTCCGAAATGTGGCGAAGATTTTACACTGAGCTCCTACACCTTCAACCTGTAGTTATTCTGAACTGTTCGTATAGAGCGCTGCTAGCGCGAAAGACAAAAGGCATCCCAAATTCGTAGTGCAGGACCGCAGCTCAAACCGGGGAGCCAGGCCAACCGACCGGTTTCTTGGCACCCTAGTTTTTATAGGTCAGAAAAATTATATCGTGCATTGAGTCACCATTTTCACGATTTTGAAACTCCTGCCCTTCTTGCCATTGCATCATAAGACGACGTTTTTTGGAAAGCATCCTCACATCAATTCGATCTTTTTCGAACGCGGTACTTTCGTGTTCCTTCTCGTGGGACCGTTCCACGACACGTAACTTGTACCTAGAAACAAAGTTGCGTAGGTGAAAGCACAGGTTATGGCAAAACAACATTAACAAATGAAATTGTTTACCCAGAAGATCCTTTTTCTCGCCTGATTCCCTTCCGTCGTTTGCTACATCCGCTTCTCTCCCAATCACCATCGCTCTCCTTCTTTCTACGTTTCTTTCTTTTTTTCGAATCACAACACTTGTCGATGGATCGTCGAGGAAGCTTTATGATTATTTTAGGTAATCTTGGTAAGCTCTCCGATCTGAAATTTGAACTGTTGGTCAATTTACTATTTACCAGTCGTTGATCAAAATGAATTCAAAATGTGCTCTAATAAGCAATGAAAATTTTCTTACCACTTTGCCGTGAAAGTGGCGCTATTCTCTTCATAGGACATCAATCCTCCCTCTTTTAAAAGAAGATCTCTACGCTTTAATTTCTAACTTGCATGACGCTTACTAAAGCTCACATCGGCAGCAGACTCTAGCAATGCCTGTAAACCACTGCGCATCAGATCTCATGGCTGACTACTGAAAAAGGCAAAAAGGCATCCGCCAAAAACTTTGTTCGAATCCAGATTCTTTCTGGAATGCTCTAGTGTTTTCACGGAATTCTTATTAGGAAGGCGGAAAGTACATCTCGCTGTCTCAGATTGGAATGAGGTTTTCGATCGCGTGTAGATCGTATATGGTGTACCCTGCGACAACACCTGCCCCTGAGGAGCTTATTGAGTAGACGCTTATACTCCAATGGAATCCAACGAGTCGCGTATCCAACGAGTCGCGTTCAAATAGGAGCAGGCATCTCTATGAAATTCCAAAACACCGTCGAGATAAACCTAGATTCTGCGTTTTCTTCACTGCTAAGAATTATCATCATGTATGCACTACACAAGATCTTCAGAACTCTGCTAAATGCTCCTCCTTTATGCCGAAGACAGGGGCGCTCTATGTAGGTCTCCCAGCTTCATTCCATACCAGCCATTCTGCAGTCCTAGGATCGAAGGAATCCCAGCAGAGATGGCAGACTCGACAAGATACCCCCAAATTAAAGATCACAAATAGTATTCAGGTGAGTCAAGATCAAGTGAGCAGTACGCTTGGTGCTAATGGAGCCGGGCAACTCTTCACCACCCTTTAATGAGTTTGGCTCTTTAGGATGAAGTTTCGCCCACAACATACCGCTGGAAACACCATGAACTGCTTCAAAAAAGGGAATCGGGTCAAGGCTTTAGTTCTTCCACCACTATGTTCTCCAGGTACAGCGCTCTTACAATTTTCTCGCAGGTAAAAAACAAAAAACGGTACGAAAACCAACGACGTCTCACCATTGTTCCGTCTGTACCAAGACCATCACATTCCTGTCCTTATTAAACTTTTCACGGACAATAGCTCTTTTGAGCCCATCTTTCCAGCCAGCACGCAATAGTTCTGCTTGTTGAGGAAGAAATTATCACACATTTTCCAGACAGAGCAAACGATGGAGTGGTGAGCTTCTCCTCTGATCAAGAACCTTCTGTATTTTTCGACCCTATACTGTCTGGTAGCGTCCGAAATAGAAGGTACTTCTGCATTAGTGACAATGAAGCTTCTTGACAACACTAGTTCGATACGCTCAGCTCCGTAGCCATATTCTGACGGATCACATAAGATTAGGATCGACACCTAAACTGATTATTACGCATGCTCTATCTCTGGAAACACTAGCCTTTTTACCACTTCCAGGTTTCTTTCTGATCGATTCCTCCCTGTAGATTTTTATGACCCTCTACGCGGACGCTATTATAATCACAAAAAGATTCTACGATGACGTTTTGCTTGCTGCACGCAAATCACAATAAGTATGCCTTCACCATCTTGTTAGTATGAAGACTCTTATCCCGTTAACCATGCACATTGCTAGGATTGCATGCGTAACTAATTAATAGCGAAAGAAATGAAATAATTACTTTCGCCTAACAACTTCCTTTGTCGTCAGTAAATGTGGTACACCTTGGGCTTGAGCAACGGGTTTGATGCGAGCTTCTGGCAATGTTTGGACTAACAAGGAAGGACACTCGATCTCAGTGGCCACTCGAGATGAGATGTAAACCCCAGTTGGTGGTTTCGAACGCTGATCTTAAATCTGTGTTTCAAATCTGCTAAACTATTCTGGGGAACGAAGTTACGGGGCCGATGCCTCCCTGTGTTATACCACAATAACGAACGGATCACCGAGCCAAGCAAAGCATCTTGTGCAACGGTGGCCTAGCGGTGGCCTGTGGTGGACTGCTAGGCATGTTTGTTCTTTTATTCATTTGCTCATTTTGTTCACATTTGTTCTTTTACACCTTGAACCCTTTTTGCCGCATCCTAGAACGGTCCTGAACAGACTTATAAATTTTTTGTCTAAGCTCCGCCCACTTTTGATGCCAACCCCGCCTACTTCGAGGATTTGGCCACATTTGTTCCATTACCTCCTACCACTTTTTTCCCGCATTCGAAAACGTTTCCAAGCAAAGTTGCATTCATTTCTGAAAAGTGGCTTCCGCCTTAACGCACGCCCCGCCCATCGTGGGCGGGGCTTCGCTGACTTACGCATGCCCAGCACGTGTGAGGCCCTGCTCAATCTTTTTTCCTGGCCTCTGCGCCTCAATTGAAACGAGTTATGAATACATCTGAAAAGTATCGCCCATTTTGAGAAGGCTCCGCCCACAGCACGTGGATCTCCTCCGTCTGGTTTGTTGACCCAATCCTCACCTTTGAACATTTTCCCCCGGTGTCTGGGCCGTTTTCGAAGCCAAAATAAGACGTTTGAGTGTTGGCACCGCCCATTCCGGCACTTGCCCCGATCTCGTGAGCGGAGCTCTGCAGAGCTCGTATGTGCCCTGTTGATTTTGTCTTGGACTCCGCCCATCCCAAACTTTTACCCACCTCTAAAGGTGTTTTTTCAGGTAAAACCGGATTGTGTGACATACAAACAAACATACATACATACATACATACATACATACATACATACACTGATCCTTCCAACTTATCCGTTAATTTCCATAGGTAGGCAGATCGGTCTGCTTGTTTTGCACCTGATGACCACCTGATACCGATCACATAAGGGTAGCAATAATAGACTAATTCGGAAGCTCATGCCCTCTTACGAGGGTTACCTTTTATATTTCGGTACTGAGCAACTCAGAATGAGCAAAAAAGAAACATGCTGTTCACAAAGTCAGCGCTCTGCATATCGAAGCTATTTAAAATAGCAACGATTGGTTGTTTTTGTAGACCAACAATGGCTTCGGTGGTGATAATTCTTAGAAAACACTAATTTTCATTACCTTTACTATTGTTAACTTCTCTCCATATTTCAGCATCTGCCCGTACAAGCTAATCAATGTCAATGGACTATATTTTCACCATTAGAAGAACTGGAAGATGGAAGGGGAGTTGGGCAACCAATTGGGGTAAGGCGCTATACATTTGTTTGTTAATAGCTCAGAGTAGCTCTAACCCTTTGAACGGAGCACGAATGGTTTAAAGTATGTGAGAAGTCCCACTGCTTGGTATAAAAATGAAAGTGTTATTACTCGAAGAGCCTCCAGTGATTGAGCTATGTTGGCCATTTATAGGAAATGGCGGGTGTACCGCTCTTTATTATAACACTTGATGGACTCGAAACAGTTTTAATCACTCTGCAACTATCGCCTATTTATTTCAACACCTTTCGCTGTAGCATCTCGGCGAGGATAACTGGACACTAATCACCGGTTCTTGTACTCTATGAATTGTTGTCAACCCTCATTAGCGGTTATTGTTTTTTCCTTAATTTTGTTGTGCTCACAAAATATATCTCCATCCTGCCCACAAAATGCCAACATATGCGAATTCAACAAAAAGCACCGAAAAGGGAACAGTTTTGGGGCATCAACCTGCGAGCGCCCTCAGTTAGGCTTCACAGCGACGAAGCAGAGTTGATTTCCACCAGTCAAATCGCCCAGCCCCCTCCTTCTCGCGTTAAAATTGGCCCGCCTCCTACACCGATCCGTATTTGGACGCTTTGGTACAAGAGAACAAGAGTTCTTCATGTCCGCCAAACACGCACACATACCCCGGCACATTTGTTCGCGCCCCGCCCGCCGTGAGCGGAGTAATGCCTAATATTGTGTGTTGAGGTCAGTGGTTCATTGTAATATAACCAGTTTGGCTATGCACGCTAACGCGCGCAGTATATGTCGATGGCCACTTATCCACGATGGAGTCATTCAGCGGAATGTTGATAATCAGAATAAGATAGTTCTCTCTAGATTCGAACGCTGAACTGCTGATAGCATCACGCTCGATATATTTGAGCACAGTTATTAGTGGTTCTAGAACGTTTCTGAACAGAGTTATGAAATTTAGATCTAAGCCCCGCCCACTTTGGTGCAGCCCCGCCCACTTTCGGGGTTTGACCACATTTGTTCTTTTACAACTTGACACATTTTTCCCGCACTCTAGGACGTTTCTGAACAGAGCTATGAAATTTTGATCTAAGCCCCGCCCACTTTGGTGCTAACTCCGCCCACTTTGGGGATCTGACCACATTTGTTCTTTTACACCTTGACACCTTTTTGCCGCATCCCAGCACGTTTCTGAATAGAGTTATAAATTTTTGATCTAAGCCCCGCCCACTTTGGTGCNTCCCGCACTCTAGGACGTTTCTGAACAGAGCTATGAAATTTGGATCTAAGCCCTGCCCACTTTGGTGCTAACTCTGCCCACTTTGGGGATCTGACCACATCTGTTCTTTTACACCTTGACACCTTTTTGCCGCATCCCAGCACGTTTCTGAATAGAGTTATAAATTTTTGATCTAAGCCCCGCCCACTTTGGTGCCAACCCCGCCCACTTTCGTGATTTGACCACATTTGTCCCATTACCTCTAACCACTTTTTTTCCGCATTCTATAACTTTTCCGAACGAAGTTACACTGATTTTTGAAAAGTAGCTTTCACCTAAACGCACGCCCCGCCACTCGTAGGCGGGGCTTCGCTATACTTATGCATGCTCAGCACGCATAAGGCCTTGCTCACTCTTTTTATTTTTTTCCCTGGCCTCGACGCCTTCGTTAAACCGAGCTATGAATCTCTAAGGAAAGTACCGCCCACTGCGAGAACGCTCCGCCCACCGCCGGTAAGTTTCCTTTATTTTGATTGCTGACCCATCCCTCACCTATGCACATTTTTTTTCCCGGTGTCTGGAACATTATGAGACCGAGTTAGAAGAATTCGCCCATGACCCCGCC